AAAATAAAAAATCATCAGTTTATTCTTTGTCAATATAAACCATACATACATATAAGGTAACCCTTATATTATACAGAACATACTCCATATATACACAACATATACCCTCAATTTATACGAAATAAAAACAATCTATCTACAAATCAAGCACATCAAGTCTTCAACAATTATCCTCTGAGAAGTTTTTCACCCAAAACATATATTGCATATACACTGAACATGTCTGAAAAAGGGGGAAATAAATAAATAAATAAATGAACAGGAGAGGATAGAATGCGACAAGAAAGCTACAGTGGATCGATATTCAGCTCCCCCAACAAGAACTTGAGAGGATTAAAAAGCTTGATTTACAACAGCAGTAACACAGTACCATTCGCCGATGAAATTATCAACGATCAAGAATTGGCTTAGAGAAAAACTGAGGGAGCAGGTACAACTAACATACAACATACCATACATTTAGCAACGAATATGAATTTTCTGCACAATATGTGTGTAGCTTCTCTCTGTTTTTGTTTTGATAAGATAAAGTGTTACATAGAAATTTAACACAAAATGAAAAAGAAAAATAACGGTAAAAAAAAAATAAGAAAAATGCTACAAACTCTCAGAATCTGCTGGCTTTACGACGTGAACGGTTGGGGTCTGCTCGCTGCTCGAGAGTCATCGGGGGCGCGCAGATGGACGGTGACCGATGGGGCTGCTGCTGCTCGGAATCACCGCCAGTTGCTTCTGCTGCTTGATGATTATCGGCGAATGATGGCATCGCGAACAGCTGCTCAGTCTCTCTCGTTCACGTCGCTATAATATGAAATCTTCTCATCTGATCGCTCGGCTGATACACATGAGAAGGAAAATCTGATTTGATTGCGGCGTAAAGGAAATTATTTTCTTTTTTAATTAAAGGATAAGTTACTAAAATTTGAATAGTATGTATAATTAAAAATATTTGTAGCCTTTTTAGGTAACTTTAAAAATAAGTATATAATGGGTAGAAAAGTGTAATATAATTTAAATGTGTTAGTATGAGGTGCAATTTCCTCCATAATCTTCCATCCCCAATGGTCCGTGTATACAAATTACTCTAAAATACTGAAAATAACAAACAAAATATCAAAGCAAATAAATTCATACAATAAAAAATAGGTCAAAAAATACAAACGTGCTATTAAATTAAACATATAAAAATAGACTAGTAAACATATGAAATGCTCACATTTTTCGACCTATCATCAGATTTCTTTTTGTGCGAGCCATAGAATAAAGTTTTACTGACAGGTGGAGTCAAACATGTTCAAATTCAATGAACCTAGCAAAGGCCACACAGAGTTGGGTCCAAACCCAACTAAACTTTAGTTTTAATTTGGACAAGATATTTACAGTCAATTTTGCAGGGAAAAGGTTATAGAGGTTGGGCCCAAGACCCAATGCAATACCAGCTCAGACTGTCCAAGTTCAACACAGTCCAATTACTAAAGATCAAGGACCAAAGTTCAATGTCCAAATTCAAGGCCATGCATGTGTGTGCCTGAGCCCAGCCAAGCCGGTACGTGGGCGTGTGTGATCGAAGCCAACACCTACATTTAGTGCATAGTTTTAGTTATTGTTTTAATTCTTCCAACTCCATCTACTAACAAAGCGAGATATCTCATGAACCATGATCAATGTGAGACATGTCTCTTGGTGTTTAGAATTGCATAATCAACATTTAAATACATGTAAGATGGCCAACTCTAATCCTTTTTATTTTCACTCACTAAAATTTGTTTTGAAAAATTAATATATTATGAATGTCTACTCAAAATGTAGAACTTTTCTTTTAGATTTAATTCAACTTATTAATTTTCTAACCATGCAAAAATCAGTCAAAAATAGGGTAAACCAATGTTTATTAAATATTTTCCAACATAACAAAAACCCACCTTACATTGACTCCACATATGAGCTACAGGACAACCAGTTATCATTATAAATCAGGAATCAGGAATGTTCCCTGTACAAGTTGTGGGAGATGTTACGGTTCCAATTATGGAACTATTCCGTCGAGTTTGTAATCGTTAGATCAAACTATCCCCAACGGTTACATGATAGATCTAACGGTTACAAACCCCGACAGAATGATTCCGTAACGGGACCGTAGTAAAAAAAAACGTGACAAGCAGCCATTAAAGGCTTGAGAGAGAGACAAAGAGATTTCAATGAAAATGGTATCTTCAATTTTTTAATGCATACAAAAGGCTCTTATGTTTTCTGCTGCTATCATCTCACCTAACACACATATTTTATACATAGCGGCTACTCATCCTCTTCCCAAGAGATCTGGTACACGTGTAAGATTTCTAAGGTAAGACCTAGTGTTCCTTAAACACTGTTCATTGACCGATTTACCCTTACTGCTTTCTTCTAGCCTGGTGCATGTGGGATTGAAATGAGTGCATCTCTGAATTTTGAGAGCATAGAAGCTTGTTCCTGCTAGGTACCTCAGTATTCTATTGACTGCCTTCTAATGAGTGTCTAAAGGGTGTTGCATGAAATGGCATACCTTGTTTACACTGAAGGAAATATCTGGCCTAGTGAGGGTTACATATTGTAGGGCTCCAACAATTTGCCTGTATAAATGAACATCCTCCATGGGGTTACCATTGAATTTGGACAGGGGTGGATGAGAGACCATAGGAGATGCAAGACCCTTAGCCCCCTTCATCCCAGCCCTGTCAAGAAGAGAAGCAATGTACTGGGACTGGTCCAAAAGCAAGCCATCATGAGTGTAGGTGACTTGGATTCCAAGAAAGAAATTGAGTTGGCCAATATCCTTTAAGGAAAAATGAGCTAGGAGGGATTGAAATAACTGGTTTAATTCTGAGGGGTTGCTGCCAGTTAAGATTATATCATCTACATAGAAAAGGAGAAAAATAGATGAAGAGGGAGAGTGCTTGAAATAAAGTGGGGGATCAGCTTTGGAAATAGAGAAACCAAGGGAAGCTAAAACTGTACTAAATTTTGAAGACCATGCTCTAGAAGATTGTTTGAGGCCATAAAGAGATTTATAAAGTTTGCATACCAAGCCCTTGTGTGGTTCAACCTCAAAACCTGAGGGCTGGGCCATGACAATATCTTCATCTAGAATGCCATTCAAAAAGGCATTATCAACATCCAATTGTCTTATTTGCCAACCAAGGGTGACAACCAAGGATAAAACAAGTCTTATAGTGTTGGGTTTTATCACAGAGCTGAAAGTTTCCTTATAATTCAAGCCAGCATGTTGTGTGTAACATTTGGCCACAAGTCTGGCCTTGTGTCTTGCAATAGAACCATCTGAATTTTTCTTCAATTTAAAAATCCATTTGTTACCAATTATGTTCTTGTTGACCGGAGCAGGGACCAGACTCCAAGTGTTGTTATTAAGGAGGGCCTGGTATTCTTGCTTCATAGCATTGAACCATTTTGGTGAAGAAAGAGCCTCAGACATAGAGTGGGGCTCTGAAGGGACAACAACTTGCAAAGCGTAGGCTTTTGGCTTGAAAATTCCTGCCTTAGACCTTGTAGTCATATGGTGAGTGTTAGTGGAGACCTGAGGCATTTGAGTAGAAAAATTAGCAGCACCTGAATCAGATAAAGTATCATGCTCAATTGGTAAATCAACAAATAATTGGTCAATAGGAATAAAAGAGGGACTTGAGTTTCTGGAGGAAGGTGTAGAAGAACTTGGGGAATGGACAGAAGTGGGAGCATGGGACTGTGATGAGTGCCTTGGTGAATAAGAGTGGTGAGGAGATAACTGAGAAGTATGAGGTGAGGGCTGTAATGGAGGTTCAGTAGGAACTATGGTTGTGTTGGGTGTGAGAATGAGAGGTGGTTGTTGAGGAAACTGTGGTGAAACAGGAGAATTAGTTGCAGCAAAGTTGAAATGAAAAGGATAAACAGACTCATCAAAAAGGACATGTCTAGTGACAATGACTTTGCCAGTGGGGAGAAGAACTCTATAGCCTTTATGATCTGGGCTATGGCCAAGAAGGACTGATTGAATGCTTTTAGGTTGGAGTTTATGGCTATTGTATGGCTTGAGTAGGGGATAACATTGACAGCCAAAGCTTTTGAGAGTGTGATAGATAGGTGGAGTGCCAGTCAATGATTGAAAAGGTGAAAGATAGTTAAGTTTCTTGTTAGGTATTCTGTTAATAAGAAAAACAGCATGGGTGAATGCTTCATCCCAGAAATGTAAGGGCACTTTGGATTGAAAGAGCAAGGATAAACCAACTTGAACAATATGTCTATGTTTTCTCTCGGCAATGCCATTTTGTTCCGGAGTGTAAGGGCAAGATATTTTGGATTTGATGCCATATTGTGTGAAAATTGGTCTTAAAGCTTGAAACTCACCACCACCATCACACTGAAATGATTTAACAAAAGCATGATATTGGTTTTGCACAAGAGCAATGAAATGAGTAAAAGCATTCTTAGTATCAGACTTGTTTTTCAGGAGATAAAACCACACAAACCGAGTGCATTCATCAATAAAACTAACATAATATTTGAATCCTCTATAAGAAACAATAGGAGCAGGACCCCAGAGGTCTGAGTGCACAACATCAAAAGGTTTATAATTGTGATTTTTTGAAATAAGGAATGGCAGCTTGTGAAACTTAGATTCCATACACACATTGCAAAACAAAGATCTTTTATTATCAAGGAAGGGGATATTACATTGCTTCAGAGCATTCTTTACAATGTCATATGAGGGATGCCCCAACCTATGATGCCATAATTCTAAGGTATCAACCTTGCATATGGTTGCTGCATTGCAGCTTGATTGAAAGGGAAAATGGGAAGTGGAGGGTAGGGAACTGGTTTTAATGTGGTGGTCTTGAATGTTGACAAGCTTGAAGGAGTATAAACCATCTTTAAGGGATCCTTTGAGCAAAGTTGCTCTTGTCTTGATGTCCTTCACAAAACAGAAAGAAGGGTGCAATTCAAAAAAGACTAAGTTGTCTTTGGCAAACTAAGAAACACTTAATAAGTTATTTGTGATTTGAGGGACATGCATAAGATTATTGAGAAGAAAAGCATTGGAATGGTAAGGAAAATGGCCTTTCATCATTGATTTACCAGAATGAGCAATCAACATACCTGTCCCATTGGCAGTTTGGATGGTCTCATTTCCACCATATTCAGAAGCTAAGGTAAGGTTATTCAACTCATTTGTGATATGATGTGTAGCCCCTGAGTCTGGAAACCAGATCATGTCTTGAGATCCTTCACTTGACTGACTGCCATAGTTAACCATACTAGCTAAAGACATTGTACTGTTGGCTTGACCTTGGTAGCTTCCATTGGAGTTCTGAGATTTAGGGACAAAGTTCATGTCAAAACGGTAGTAGCACTTATCAACTGTATGGTTATTATAACCACATATCTGGCATCGAGCTCTATTGTTGCCAAAGCCTCTTCCTCCTCTTCCTCTGGAAGACCCAGACCTACCATTGCTCCTTCCTCCTCTGTTGGTCTGATTCTGACCATTGGATCTGCCCCTAAAGGAGTTGAAACCTCTGCCACCTCTATTAGGGGAATGTGTGACCAGATTTGCAGCTAAGAATGATCCATCTCCCTCATTGGTGCTGTCAGTACTCTCAAGCCTGCTCTCAAAACTCAATAAGATGGAATAGGCCTCCATCATGGAGCAGGCTTCAGTCCTTGAAGTTATGCTAATCACCACCGGATTGTAGTCAGAGCCTAAGCCAGCAAGCAAGTGAAGAATCTGATCATTTTCACTAATCTTATGCCCTGCAGCAGCAAGAAGATCACAAATGCCTTTCACTTTGTTGAAATACTCTCTTATCTTCATATTTCCCTTTTTAAGGGCTTGTAGCTCAAGCTTAAGCTGCATTTGTTTGGCTAGACTGTGACTAGCAAACCCTTGTTTGAGAGATGCCCAGATCTCTTTAGAGGTGTTCAACCCAACAGTTGTGATGAGCACATTTTCAGACAGAGAGGAAAGGAGCCATGATGCAATAAGCTGATCTTGCTTAACCCAAATAGGATAAGCCTTGTTGACTACTCACCTCTGGATCCAAGATTAGTTTTTCTGGTGCTGGTATTTCTCATGTGAGGTAGCTTGATAGGCCATATCCACGAATTGTGGTTAACACTTGTTGTTCCCAGATTAGGAAATTATTTTCAGTAAGCTTCACAGTGACCAACTGCCCTTGGAGCTGTATGGGTGACTCATTTTGTGGTAGATCTGGTGCCATGTGGTAAAGAGAATTAAAAATAAAAAAGGGAGGAGATGGATCAGAGACAGGCTTTAACCTGCTCTGATACCATAAAGAGAAACGTGACAAGCAGCCATTAAAGGCTTGAGAGAGAGACAAAGAGATTTCATTGAAAATGGTATCTGCAATTTTTTAATGCATACAAAAGGCTCTTATGTTTTCTGCTGCTATCATCTCACCTAACACACATATTTTATACATAGCGGCTACTCATTCTCTTTCCAAGAGATCTGGGACACGTGTAAGATTTCTAAGGTAAGACCTAGTGTTCCTTAAACACTGTTCATTGACCGATTTACCCTTACTGCTTTCTTCTAGCCTGGTGCATGTGGGACATGCTGTCATGGCATGTTCATTGTCTTCTTCTTCTTCTTCTTCTTTTACTGCCAGCTCATTCTTTCTTTTGTTTTCTGTCTCACTTTTTTTTTTTTTTTT